TATATATTTATATATAAATTTAATCACCTGTGTTTTTATCAGTAATATACATTTATTTTCTCAATCTATGCTTTAAAAAATACCATTTCTGTTTATAATTTCATTCAAATATATTCATTTTTGATTTTTGAATACAATATTTTTAATTTTTTCATCACTTAGTTAAAACATGCATGTACATTAAGATTCTATTAGAAAATGATCATTGAAATTGATTAATCTATTTCAAATATTTATTTATTTTTTTACAAAGATTTTTGTAGATTCATTAATAATTTTTCTGGTAAATGGATATTTAATTATTTTAATATCAGAACAATATAGAAGGCAAATTGAAATAAAATATTATACAATATATAAAAAACTCATTGAGCAAAATTATGATAAAGTTACTTGGTATCTTTATCATCTGGAAGATGAACACCCATAGAAGACAATAAGTTGCTTGTAGGTCCAGGTAATCCTTGTTGACTATTGTATGACTCCAATATATTCTTTAAAACTGTTAAATCAACATCAACGGGACGATACTTATCATCAGAAGCAGTAGGTATTTCACCATCCCCGACTTCTTTAATCTCCTAAAAATTTGAAAGAAATATAATATGGTTCATATTCATTTATTTAAAACAATTTTATTAATATCTGAAAAGAAAATATTGTACAAACTTTTTCATCTACAGTTTCATTTGGTGGTAATCTTTCATAGCTTAATCCTACATCTGTATTAAAGAGTTCGCGATCCATCTGTTCCATATATTCTTTCATTCCTTCTATTAATTCTCTAGTCTTTTTCCTGGTTACATCTAATGCAAAAAATTTAATAAAAATCATATTTTTATAAATATTCATAATTAAACAAACCATGGAAAATAAAAATGATTAGTAATAATTAATAAAATGATGTAAGATATATCTTTCAAGCATTTGCCATTTTCAAGGTTTGATTAACAATAATGGATAATCAATCATAAACAAGATCATTATTATGTAACTTTTCATAAAAGAAAATCTAGAGCTTAGTTAACCAATGCCCAGATTGCAAAATAATATATGTTATAAAAGAACTACTGTATTTATCTGTATTCATAATTACTTCCATAAGCCTAATGAGGGACGCTGTGAAAAATTTAAAATTATAGCCACCATTTCACCAGTTTAAAATTTTTTTTTGCTGCTACAAATTATTTATCACAACCAGTTTTACTTACTAATTATTGCAGGACATTTGGAAAGCAAAAGTAACATCTTAAATTGTCACTTACCAGGAGAGGGACAGACGTTTGGGTCTCCAATTCGAATGAAACTTGATGAATAGGCATCCCTAAACACAAACAACTCCTTGTCCAAATAATAGAACCCACTTTTCAAATGTTTCCAAAAATTGGGCCTCTAAAAATTTAGTGTTTAGCTTATAAGTCTAGAAGTTTCACCAGCAATTGCTGAGTGAGTAAGAGGCTAAACATTGGAGGTATAGACAATGCAGTTCAAACCTTCAGCATTTTAGTTTAGTTTTTTTCTTTCTTTGTGTAACATTATTACAGGTAACCCCCATATAACACAGTAGTTACGTTCCAAAAAATTGCCGTGTTATGCGAAACAAAGAACTAGTACGAAAAGGAGGGTTAGGTTCCAAAAATTAAAAAACATGCTACTATATTTTCATAATTAAGATAAATATCTTTATTAAAATTTTCTTAAGTGATACATATTAATATAAA